ATATATATATATATATATATATATATATATATATATATATATATATATATATATATATATATTATTATATAATATGTACAAGTTGTAAAATACTGAAATAATACAATACGTTTTCAATCAGAATTCATTGCAAAAAGGAGGCTCCTTTGCCTAGAATGTAATCTTAATAACAATAAATAACTATTAATGCTTTCAAAAGACTTGTAGCAAGTACAATCAAATCTAGTAAATTACATTTTCCAGTTATTTGTTCTAAATTAACTTAACACAAATACTCTCAATAATTATTTTTTCTAGCAAGAACTTCCAAAGTTACTCGCATCGAAATTTATAGAGTTCAGAATAAACTTTTTTGATTATGTAAATCAGCACAGCAAGTTAATGCAGTGATTTTGTCACCAGGGTTTTGAACACCGAAACTTCTGATATACCTCTTCATCATAATGATCGTGGCCACTTTAAAACTCTACAACAATCCCTATCTTGAATAAATGTATAATTTTTTTAAGTTGATTCCAAATGGAGGTCACAAAGACAGCATGTTTTAAAACCTTATTTGCAAACAAGCTCTTAGATGAGGTTTATTACAAGCTCTTTGACATAATTAAACGAAATGTATAATTAAAAAGCATTTCACTTTGGCAGTCTTTTCATAAATTTAATTTCATGAGTAAGCCATACAGCCAGTGAGAGCAATATAAGAGATCCTGATTGATGACTTGCAGCAATAGGTACAGGTACGTAAGTCAAGAGTGTGGTGATTCCTAGAGCAACCTATGCAAATAAATGAAAAATATTAGTGTATTTATAGAATCACAACCCGTTTGGGATAACATTAGAATCATGGACATAAGAACAGATCATTGTTATTAGAAAAGATTAGTATACGAAATTTTCAAGAATTTTTCACCTCTAACAATCAAGATAATGAAATGAACTAGTGTAAAATGTGTCCAAACAATAGAGCTTGTCGCAAAAAGCTGAAGCACAAGCATTGTATTTTCTAACCCTACAGTAAAACTCCTTTTATACATGGTTAATTTTTGGTAAGTTCTGCAAAAATTCCTATGATTCCCATGCTAAATTATTTCGGATATGCGTTTTATATTTACACATTTTTCACACTTATACATTCATAATGCAAGTTCCTTTAAGACCATATAACGTTTGAATGTTCCCGCAGAGGTGCCGGGTAAATCGCAGGGTCACCTGCACCGCTGACCTGGAATTTTACTCGCGTCTGCCTGCTCCAGAGTGCTCCCGAGGAAACAAACTGTCGGCCTCCGAGGCGAATCCCCGTTAATGAAACGGTAATTAGAAACTCTACTCGGCAGTGGAAAGGGAATAGGAGACTAGAAAAATTTAACTTCCAAGAAACCTACATTTTTTAAAATTTCAATCACACAATGCAATTTAAATAACATTTTAAATAAAAACACAATATACAAATTTATAGTTAAATTTAAGACTTGAAAGATAAATTCACAGCGATTTTAAGATTTAATACTTAATTATGGAATATGTTTTGTGCCCTACTACACTCTAGGCAAATCGTAATGTTAAACACATCAAGATAACATACTTTTTCATAATAATTTTTGTAACTGTGTATTGAATTCTTCATTTTAGTAATATCTTTTCTAATAAAAGGTAGTGTAAAAATATTTAGTTTTTATTTTACTCATAATATTCAATTTCAGTTATTTCTTTTTCACACTTATTCATTTCTTCCCTTCAGCCCCCTGAAAAAGTATAAGTGAAGTTTTACTGTAGTGTTTGTTTGCTATTGTTGTTTTTTGTATGAATTTTATTGCCAGCAATTGTCTCAAGGCAAAACTAATACAAAAACCTGAGTGCCCACAGGAAATCAGAGCAGGAAACAGCTCAAAATAAAAAATTCCATTAGTGAAGTAATAATTCACTCTCAGTTCATTTAAAATAATCCGTGAATAATGGAAGGAATTAAAGTTGTAGTGGTACAAATCTGCAATGCAGGCAGAAAACAATATAAAAGGGCACTCTTCAATACATTTGGATTTCTCCTCTTTTATATGCCATACTTGGTAAACAAATAGAACAAAGAGATTTAATAAATTACAAAGTACACCATCAAATATTAATCAAGAGGAATTTGTTACTCATTTACCTGCATCCATCCCATTATGGCTACTGCTGTGGCAGCTGTATATGCGCGGGGAGGAAGCTTGGTCTTCCTGGATAAAAACCACATCCCAGAAATCAGTGCTAATGTTCCAGTGCCCTGAAATAAATGAGAAAGGATAGGTGGGAAATTAATGATTTTGTGAAAAGAGAAAAGTGTTTCTATTTGAAAGGCAACATTAATATTCTTTAAAAAGTGAGGTAAAATAGGCTTCCGTAGTCAGCATCAATATGCTTATTGTTTCTCTATTGGCAATATGATTACGGCACGTCCAGGTCAGTAGAATGTTTTCACGGGTTTTAGTGCAGCTGGGCATTGTCCAAGACTGTGTCGCTCAGCGAAATGAATTCTTTTGCGAGTCTGATGGGCTGGAGCAAAAACTGTTAATGTCTCAAATGCAATGATGTATATGCTGTGAGTATATACTTAATTTTCCAAACTTGTGTGACACTTGTGTTAGTTTACAAGTTTTCAAGTGTGATTTACATTGTTCCAATAATAGTGTAAAAATTAATACAAATTATGTCTATAAACAGATGAGAATATGTAGTATGCATGTGAGTTAAGTCATCAAATGGATGTAACCAGGCAAGTCCTAAATACCGAATTCCAAAAAGGGGGCATTGTTTACTTTCACACACCTGCAATTAAACTCGCAATAAAATAAATTTTTATCGCAGAATTGTGCAAGTAAATAATATTACTTAAAATTGAAGTTTTAAAATATACTTTTCTGTTATTCTTAATTCATGAATACAGTGATATTTTGCAAACTCTCTCCGGTTAATGGAATGCAAAAGTGAAGTTCCCAAATAATGTCAATGTGCTACTCACTGACTACCCCTCCAATTTAGCCTGACATAAATGTGTGTCAAAGTACACCTCTCATATAACTGAACAGACAATACTGGGTGGCATGCAGATGACTGACTTATTTGCAAGACGCCTTAGGTTTCTTCACCTGCGACCATGCATATGTCTATGACTGCTCCAGACAAAATGTTTGGAAATATGTTTTCCATTGGACTATGGCCTGTCAGCCCAGGAAACAATAATATTTTCTATTTTACTTTATCTTTCAAAAAAGAAAAAAACAACAGCAACTAATTTTTCAATGCTTAGCTACATACATTTCATTTTATAGAGATCTGAACTCACCAGAATTCGATGATTAAATTGAACAGTTGTAGGATTTTCTGAAAAATTTTTCCATTGTGGGTCGAATGCCATAATATCTTCTGGAATCCATCTGTCTACCATTTTGGGGAAAGAATTGTACACAAGACCAGCATCTAATCCAGCAACAAACGCACCTAAAAGGTAACAGAAAGAATATACATTACTTTTGAAGTGAGAATTATTTTTAAACTTTATTTTTTGTCATTTAGAAATAATTTTCCTCTGCAACATGGGTTATTCTGATTTTTATATGAATTTGGTTGACTGTTTTTGAATTTTAAATCTTATTTTTTTTCTATTTATTTATTTATTTTACAACAGTCAATATGTCTACGTAGTTGTCCCCAAATAGCACACTCAAACTTCATCAAATCATTACAACTTTTTAAAATAAAATTTATAAGTTTTAAATAACATTTATATAAAATTATAAGCAGTTGTAATGATAAATGATGTGATGAAGTGTGAGTGTGCTATGTGGTGATAACTACATAGACAAATAGACAGTGGTAAAATAAATAAATAGGGAAAAAATAAGATGATAAAATTAAATTATTCTGATTTTCTTTGCTATATAAAAGGTTTCAGTTTTCTTTCAGTGCTGAATTAGCAACACCTCTCCCTCCACCGTTTTAATAAAGGGACAGTAGATGGCAGTTATTTACTTGGAAACAAAGAGATTTTGGTAATTGTTGTGTCCAATACCGAAGTGTAAGAATGGGCCATAACATGATAAAGTGGGTAGTTAGCCATGGGCTCTTAAAGGTGAGATTACCAGTGTGTCGATTACCTTTGGGACTTTGGAGAGGGCGCTATTGCTGCCTGTGAGGGGAGGTTTTCACACCAAAGGAGTCGGTTTAAGTGGAAAACTGTGAATATACTTCGTTTAAAAGAGAGGGCGGGAATTGATGGACATTACCGGAGTCTCTCCAATCAAGAACAATTCATTATGTCTTAATGCCCAAAGAGACAGGACTACACTCACATTTTTTAAACATTTGTCATTCCTTGGTGCATGCCAGAAGAAGAACACTTTGCCTCTTTAGTCTGTCCTGTTTTCTGGGGGAAAACAAAATCTATCAAATTTTACAGTTCTTCTAAAATATTACCTCTTCCTTTCTGGAAGAGGGCAAGAGATGGGTTTGTGTTCCACAAGATGGAAGTTGTTTGTCTCTGTGCTCCTTACCCACTGTGGAATTCAACAAGAAGACACACCATTGAGGGCTAGGTTTTATCCACTGAGATATAGTGCAGGGATGAATTTTGAACTTTTGAACAATTTCAAAAATTCAAGAGAAGTGCAAAGAAAATACTGTTTCTTATGCATCTTAGTTCTTACAAGAAAAAAAAATTGGAGCTGAGTTTTCTTTGTAAATTCAAATTATCCCTTCAAATTCAACAGGCCACAATATCAGTCAGATCGATCTCGGGATATCAATTTTGTTGAAAATCATGCTTACGTTTTTGCTCCTAGTAACGTACACAAATGTTTTGCTATCTATCGATTTTTCAGAATCAAGAACCCACTAAGCAGGAATTCTGACTACACAAAGTGTTAGAGGAACTAATTTTCCACACAAAGGAACAAGATTCATCTATTTGTTCATTACCAGGACCCCAACAATTAAAGTTTTTCTGATGACGATTTGTAGCTTTTCCCCCACAGCACTACAATACTTCCTCTGTACTGTATAAGCAGAGTGCGAGAAAATAAAAAAGGTAAAATGATGACACTTCCAAGAATAAGACAGTACATTTTTAATGAAAAGTACTTTGACTCTGAAAATAAAACTTGGTTTTTATTATCATGTAACATGGAATGAATAGAAAATCACTAACATCACCATTTTACTTTCAAAATGATTAATGCACTTTGAATGTTGAACTTGTGTTTTGGGGATCTTGCACTTACTATAAAATTGTAATCAGAAGTATTCTGTTCATGAGTAACATGTAACACATAATGTATCACCAATGTGTCATAGGAATGAACAGCAAACGTTCTTACCTGAAAGTGCAGTAAGAAATACCATCCCCTTGCAAGTATGTGCTAACATTCGAAATTGGCGAGCAGCTTTTGGAACAGATTCTGAAAGCTTCTGAGCTGGAAGCAGGTGATCAAGAGCAGACCACAAAAATAATGTATACAGAACAAAAGCCAAGCCAAGATGAGAAGCCAAACGATACTGTGAGACACGTGGTACATCACTTTCACCGTGGAATCGATCTTCTAAACCAGACTTCACCATGTACCAGCCCATTAATCCCTGAAAGAAAAAATAAACAAACTAACAGAAATTGACTTGAAATGAAGTACCTGTGTGAGAAATAAATTGCTTTTTGATAAACTTTCATAATATACTGTAATTTCTGTTGCATGGCAATTCAAAATAAATAGAACACCAAAAAGTTATATTATTTACAACTTTTAATCTCCATTTCTTAATATTTAATTTACATTCACATTCGATAACATTTTGGTTCATTTTGTGTTCTGTTCTTCAAAAGCAGATGCAACTTGGATTCCATTAATTCAGTTTCAAAATATACATCCTATTATATAAAAGTGAAATTGTTTACAATCACACGTGACACAAGAATTAGTACCACCAGTGTGATTGCTCCCAAATATGACAAATACTTTTGAGCTTGCTTGACCGTTGTTAAAAATAAGAAAAAAGAGTACCCACAAAAGGAAACAATGTATTGCGACATTTAGTGGAACTATTAACAAATAATGGAAGAATTAATTGATAAATAACATTGCAACAAATAATATTGAAACAACTTCAAAAAATGAATATTACCTCTAGTAAGTGATTGTTTATTTTCTGAATTAAGTACTTGTAAATACTTATATGGGTAGTTGTTTATTTTACATGAAATTGTTCAAACTGTCCATATCTGTGTCAAATTTTCTTCACTTATATAATCATAAAGGTAAGATGGAAATAGTTTTTCTGTGTAATAAAAGGGTATAAAGGGACATCTTTGTTCAATTTCTGTATGAAGTTATTTAATATTGTATTATTATAATACAAGTCACAACAACAGCAGGAAAGTAACATTTCTAATGTCTGTCTTTCTTCCTTTTAAAATTTGTGTGTTGTACATTCCTCTTCCCCTAAAACACCTTTTTGAAATATTTTGCCACCTGCGGTGTTCCATATCACTCCACTCCTTTAGTTCCCTAATACTTTGCTAACAATATTGTATACAGCATTAGAAGAGAAGTAAGTTTGCTGGACACTAAAATTCTATGTAAAATTAAATTGATTATTTGATGTTCTGAATAATTTAATAGCACAAGTCTACGTCTTTCTGTTGAAAAGTAGTTAGGTTTCAATATCCAAGGCAATTTTGATAAAGTGATATCATGCACTTAGAGAGGAAATTATTTCATTAAAAGAAGAGTTAAGATTACTATTGCATTGCTGACAGATGTTTTGCAATTGCATTGAGTATCACGACGCTCACCATTTCATCTCCAGCTCACAAAACATTGCAAGAAATGTTGTTGTTCTTTCCTTCATATTCTGTTTCTTTGTTATTTCCACAAGATATCAATCTGTATGCCAGGATGAGAGGAACAAAGTTTAGAAGAGGTCAAGCATAAACATTACACCTGAAAGAAATGACTAACAATTCTGACAATTTGTGTCAGAGATAAATTTAACATCTCTTCCTCCTTACAATGACCCCACATGAAGGGATAAATACACTCTGGGAGAACATGGAGGACAATACCCCACATGCAGAATTGTAGTATTTAACCTAATGCTTTAAAGTCCATTTGATACTTTGCTACAATTGTCCAAATTGGTAATGAGACTCCTGTGCAATTAACATTTAACACCCTTGACTCAGCCTAACACAATTTTATGCCATAATTAGTAACTACCAAACAGTTTGCTGGGAAAATAAAAATAATGAGAACAAATACAAATAATGTATTAAGAAAATAACCTATAATTAAACACATTTTGACCTATAGCTTTTAAAATACCTTGAAAAGAATTCTAGGGTATTCTAGCAGACTGGGTTATGCACTGCAATGTTTATTTGTTTGTCACCGCAGGGACGTAATGTAGGGTATCGAACTTAACCATTAAATTGCTTTCTTATAAAAAAGAATGGAGAATTATGGGGTTTCATTTTCTTGGTTTGTTCATGCCAAAAAAACTCAAAACTTTTGCAAACCCCAAACTTGTGTTCATTGCATGGTCATTCCTGTACTTCCTTTGGGCACAATATTTTAGATTTGCAGAAACATTAAACCATGCTTTTTTTTCTTTTCTTTTCTTTCTTTTTTCTTTTCAGTTTGCTTTTGTTCGGTGTTCTCACGGTATTAGGGGTCAATTCGTGAGTGGGGGCAGGGTAAGGTATAAGACACAAAATTGATGTCACTGCTACTGATAGTTGCAATCAAATTGCCATATCAACTGAATTTCCATCATCAATTGAAAATATACAGCTCTTAAATCCATTATTTATACCTGCAAACCAATCAAAGTGCCAAATGCAAGAATTCTCTTCTTCATTCCAGTTTTTAACCAACCTCGAGACCAAAACACCACAGCAGGAATAAAGAAAATGGCACCAATAGCTCGCCCCCACATTCGATGACCATACTCCATCCACCATATCCATTTGAATTCTTCCAGAGTTATATCTCTGTTTTTTCTAGGAAAAGATAATAAACAGAGTAAATGAAGTGCTTGTAAAAGAGCCCACTAATAATTTTAATGCAAACCAACATTTACATTTTAAATTCTGGATACTGCTTATAACGAGTAAATTCTGCTTCCCATTCTTCAGCCGTTCTTGGCAACTTCTCCCCAACTAAACGCCATGTGACCATGGATAGCCCTGATTCAGTCAAGCGTGTTACACCTCCTAAGAACAATGAAAAAATACAATAAGTCTCAGTGGTTGGTAAATCGATTAATAGTAGGCACATTTACAGTTCACAAAAACAATTTTAGACATTTTAAAACTTTGAAGATTTTATAGAATAATTAACAAACAAAAGGGCAAAACTAGCTTCTAACAATTTAATAATTGTCTGTTAAATAGATTATTGGCACTTTTGCATAGCAATCTCGTGGCACAGAGTGAAGTCTCTTGCCTTTCACCAAGGAGATGAGCGTTTGATTCCTCGACAATCACATGTGAATTTTAATACAACAAAACACGTTTGCCTACTTTACAGGGACTAGTCTAATCCCTATGAAGCGTCCTAATCATCTATCCTATTTCCTTCCCAATTCTGGCCACTGAGTAGTGACACAGACACGGGTATGCAGAGACACTACCTGGTGGTCCCCTTGACTGACTCATGAGACTTGTCAGATTTACTGGCAGATATCATGAATCTTAGTGGAGGACTACTCGCAAGTGCAAAGCACTCATTGCTTAACAAGGGGCTAGCAGATGGTTGCATTAATCTAGATGGATTCAATAGAAATGTAAGTCTTAAGAGTAACAATTGCATACTTGTTTCATAGAACCTAAATAAATTCTGAAGTGCTACATTCACAATTTTTAGTAGAAGGCAAAAATTAAACTGTCAGTAGCTATGCCGGCTTTGGTAACAAAATACGGTGCAAGGGGGATCCGTCATCTCGCACTAAAAAAGACAAGCAAACTGAAAATAATACCCTCTTTCATTTATTTACTAGATACATTTTATTTTAAACTTTATATAAAGAGTTAAGAGACAATAACAGTAATTTACCAATTTTAATGAATTTTCTTCTTACAAACAACCTTTACCAACGTATTAAATTTGTTTAATGGAACTTTAGCTTCACACATTGACCAGAATGATCAAGTTTTTCAGTTTTTTTCCATGTGTATGTAAGAAACTCTTCTGTACATAAAAATATATTTTAATAATATAAATATTTTAGTCTGTTTAAAATTAGTTAAAGAACATTTGACAGAAGTACATTGTTTTACAATAAAGAAAATAGAAAAGCTGTATGCAAAAGAGTAAACTGAAATAATCTTGCAAATTGGTATAATATATAATATGGTCAAAGAGAGAACCTAAATAACATTTGAATTTTTATGTGGTTGGTAATAAAATTGCTTACTGTGCTTCTGGTTCAGCAAGTGCTGTGAACTACATGGCAAGGAGCTACAATGAAAGGAGATGCAAAGTTACTTAGTGACCCATGCCAAGTCACATTTCCTTTGCAACAAAATTTCTCAGCAGGGACAGGGAGCAGTTGAAAAGTAAGCAGCCACGAACGTGCATAATGTTTTCCTCAAAAGGCACTGAGAACCTTGAAAGATTATAAATATATCTTAAAATTATAGCGGCTCTGAACCAGTGGTAGGGTGAGCACAAGCACCCCATGCTGCTCCTCCTGAGTTAATAAGCTGAGTACTTATGTGTTACACACACTTCTTTATTAAATATAGAACATTGCAAAATTTTATAACAAAGAATATTTCCCTTGACATTTATTTGAAAGTCATCCCTCTCATGTGAAGGAATTCCCTCAAAATGTTTCTTCTTAAATTAATGATTAATTAAATTAAGGGCAAATTGATGTTTGATCAACTGGGAACCAGCTAACAAATCTGGAGTTTCGTAATGACACAATTTTTGAAATTGAATCTACCAATTGGACAGCCATTTCCCAGCTGATCAAATATCAATTCACCCTGTTTTAATCAGACAATAAGTAAAGATAAAAACATATATTTGGAAGTTTTTAATACCTAAGATACCACAAGACAACACAAGCAGAATTGCATATTAAACAGGGAAAGAAAGAGAACTTACAACCTCTTTATTAATAATACTTGAAAGTTTAAAACAAGAGGGTTTTTATGACTGACAGATTGCACATTTGTTGGAATGAAAATTCATTTGTTGCCAGAATTGTGTTAAACGATGCAATACCAAACAACGGCATATTTCCATAATACTTTTCAAATACGTTCATCAAGATAAAATTTAACCTCATACCTAATATAACTGCTCCAAAAACCATTCCACTACATCCAAGAAGCCAATATCCAACAATCTTTTGTGTTGAAGATACATTCACAGTACTTGTGCTAAATGGTGCAATTTTGTTTCCTTTGCCAATAATCCAATTCTGAAATTATCAAACTTTTCATAAAAAAATGTCCAATTCAAAGTAATATGTACACATGATCACAAAAATTAAAACCTACATACCTCCAACCATTGTCTCCCACTGGATGAGGCCAGATTAGTAGTGCTAGTGTAACACGGCCATACCCGATTCTACAGCAAATGGAAAATTATGAAGCTTAATTCTGGCCATTTGGGAAACACAGTGAAGACTGTCACAATATTTTTGATAAATATAAAACATTTCTTCACCTTCCAAAGTTTTCCACTTCCATTTCTTGTGACGAATGGCGATGTTAAGCGTGCTACGTCTCGTGACAAAATCCGGAACATTATGTTAGTTTTCTCTTAATTTTCAGCATCGAATAAATGCATACGGAACAATGCTCACTTATCTATCAGGAAATGTACTTGCCGCTTCCTGATTCCTTTGGTGTATTTGTCCACGGCACGCCGAGCCGGGCACGGACAACTTCAGTGCCTATAGTTCACTTTAAATGTAGTATCTCCCGAAGGTCGAAAGCTGAAAGGAGGGACACTACATATCCAATACGGAGCTTCAAAACCAAAAACTAGTCGTAACGAAGGGCTCGATTACATGTTAGTGTACCTCTCATCTTCCAGTACATGATGTTGAGAAAACACTAGTACATTAGTACCTGTACATTTAAATTTAACAATAAAAAACTAGGCTCATCGACATGAGCATGACAGCTATATTTGGGTTTTTAGTTTTTGGCGCGTGAGGACATTTTACGATGGAATATCTCTTGGCATTCCGTGTCTTTCTCGGTCGTGACACTAGAGGCCGAAAAAGACTCAAAATGCCATGAGATAGTCCAACGTGAAGAACGCCCTCACGTTTCAAGAAATAAAAACCCAAGCATATAGTGCTATTTTACATAGTTGCCTTTCAAGACCCGTCTTCACGATGGAATAAGTCACGGCATTTCGCGCCTTTCTCGATTGTGCCGCTATACTACAATTTTTGTTCCTCTGGCAGATACCAGCTGTTTCGGTTTCATCCAATCGGGAGCTTGAACGTCAGCAGTGATGTGTAGAATTGCATAAATTGCAGCATAGATGTCGCATGACCCCCCTCCCCCAAGCACTGCTTCATACGGTCGCGATCATGCGATCATGCCACGCGATTGAAACCGTACTGAACCGTACGCTTGCGATCATGCGACACCTAGCGGTATAATATGCGGCAGCTATATAAAAATCGCACTATACACATGACGCGCTTTTCATTGCAGGTAATGTCGAACGAACGATTTGTCACATTAAATACAGACTTTTTTTAAAAGGATTTTGATATACTACGATCTTAATACAGCAATTTGGAGTTTGTCCGAAATTTATCATAGTGAACTCTCTATTTATGCAGACCCTTAATAAGTGTGAAGTTTCGATTTAATTATTTTCGTGAAATTTAATTAAGTGAAACGGAGGTTGGTTTCTTGTTATTACTAGTTGATGTGCTTGTAATGGTATGAATATGTATTTGCTGTGATATGTGATGTGATAAATATATAATTCTGAAAGGTTGAAGGACAACTTGGTCTACAATGGAGTGGGCGGTATTTTTATTGTTCTATTTCTTGCAAATGTTATTGATGTATTCTGTAATATTTAGAACTCTCTATGAATTTTGGATAAATTAGGGTGGTTCTGATTGCTTTTCTCAGAAAGGAATTTACCATAGTGATACCTAGGGGTAGTAACTTTTAAATTTCTGTGTAGAAATTCCTAAAAGTAAATTAAGGCATATTTCTTGATGAGATTTGTTCTTTAATGACAGATTTTGAAAACAAAATCATTTACAACTTGTAGAAAATTTGAGGAGTACAAAAATCTCTATCTTTACTATTTTATTTGTAGTAACACGCCAAAAAAAACTTTTGCAAATTTCGAAAAATCAAGGATTTTTACGAAAATAATATCTCCACTATTCTTTTAAGCGTCCGGCACACTGTACGTTAACAAACTTTAATTTTAAAAAATTGGTGCCATATTTTTGAACATTTTAAAAACGTTCCAGAGCTTTCATGTTAAGTGCTCCTAAAAAGAAAAGAAAAATCTGTTTCAAATTCAAGGTTCGCGACATCAGGACATCAGACAGATTGATTCGATCGGAGAAACCGAATCTCGATTTCGGATCGAATATTTATTTCGGAGAAAATTTGCTGAACGTTTTTGGCGCTAGGGTTGACCACTGACGGACAGAGACGTTTTGCCGTCAATCGATTGATTGTTAGTGATTTCAGGCACATCCACTACTAAGGCCATTAGTCCTGTAAATGTAATGCATGCTTTGCGGCGGTGGTCTTCTCCCGCTGTATAGCGAGATCCGGCGTTGACCTATCGTTGGCAAGCGGGGTTTTCCCCAATCAGGTATCTCCTACCAGCGGGTCACCGCCCCGGCTGGGAGAAGTTCTAAGCTTCCGACCGCTCCCGGCATATATGGTGATGTAGTTCATGTAAGTGTGTGTAAGGGGTGATAATAGGACAAGGAAGAAGAAGGAAAGATCGCGCGCGGTCTGTGGCCTGTTTGTTAGGGTGCTGCTCCGGCATTCGCCTGGTATTGATCGAAAAACACGGAAAACTACCGATCAGAGCAGCCGACCGCTAGAATTCTCCTCCAGAGTGACTGAGAAGCTAGTGTCGAAAGCTAGCGAGTAGCCGACAACCTAGTGTCGAAAATCCTGTCACCGTCGGGACTCGAATCTGGACCTCCCGGTCAGACGAACATCGGTTAAAGTCTAGACCATCTCTCCCGGCGCCGTCAATCGATTTTTCGGTACCAAGGACCCACATGGAATGGATTCTGCCTACACAACATGTTAGAGGAAGTAATTTACTATATGTAGAAACAATATTTATCCACTTTTCCGTCATCAGGGCCCAGCTATGAGTTTTTCTCTCGGGAACTCGCCGTTACAATACAGCGTTACAATACTTTCTCTATACTGCGTAAGCAGTAGCGAGAATGCGAAGAGGTTATACTTTTATGTGTGAAAAATCAAACATAAGCTATTTGAATAAAGAGGTCGCAGTATTTTATCGGTTTTGTAATTCTCGTTATTTGATATTCCCGCTGAACGGTTTTGTTTACTAGTTGTTTCCATGGGAACGAATACAGAAGGGTTCATGTTTAGAGTTAGATCGATGAAACTGACGGTCATATTGTTTCGTGTCTACTTTGAACTACAATGTTATTTGACATATTTTGCAGACCAAATGCTATACTCAACACCCACGTTACTATAGTGTAAAGTAGCAAAGTTTTCGCCTACAAGATAACTGCTCTGAATGCCAGCGAGACGTGAGGAACTTTGCTGTTCACATTCTGATGGAGGCGTGTGGGGATGATGGCGGAAATACCTTGTCTCCAACAAAAGTGCCGAATACGTATTCAAATATACATGTAGCTCATGTTGAAGGTTCGGCAGAAATTTTGATTGAACCTGATGTTGTGGAATTTTTGTTTCGTGTCGAAAGCATCAAGGATAAAGCAGAAGATGCGAAACAAAGTGTTACTAAGCGCATCGACTACCTGTTGCAGATAATACGAAACGCGAATATTAAGGTAAGATTGACTTTAGATAACAATAGATTTTAACTAAAAATTTCACACTCTGTATTATATCAACTAGTATTTACTTTCAGGGTGACGTAACAGTAACAACTAATCGATTATTGCAAAGAACTGGTGAACAGTTTCGTTTGATTGGGGAAGTTCTTGTGCAGTGTGATGCTGAACAAAAATATGAAGAGATAATTAATATAATTGTGGAAAAACTGGAGAGCGGAGTAACTATAAGTGAACCACACTTTTTTCACTCATCGAAGTCCATTCAGGAAGGAAGGTAAAAAGGTTTCTGTTTAAGTCGTTAGGTATCAGAGTTCCAGATATTTGAATCGTTATTCCACGGGAAACACAAGAATCAGGATAAACAAATTAATAGTTTCTATTTGAATGAACATTTATAAAATAATATGCACACAATGCACTTGCATACCATGTGCAACTTTACCGATACTTTGGCATAAAAATGGAGCCCATAAAATTAGTATATTTCAGTAATGATTAACAACGTTGTTTATTGTATATCTAAACCAGTACGAAGGATATACGGAAAATAGATTAAAAATGATATATAACATCCTTCACCGGACATTTTAAGGAGTAATTGCCGCGAAATTCATCGCAAACGGAAGTACAGGCTATCGGTCTAGGAGTTACAACACCACCAGCTGTACTTAATAAAACAGATGTATCTTATCACCGCCAACAAATCGAAGTTCGACAACAATTTCCTTCTCAATTAGCTCATCGGTGCCGTATTGTTGCAATATTTATATTAAGCTTTGCAGATTGCTTAAAAAGAAATTCATTAACATACTGAGAATACAAATTGAGAAAAAAGTAAAAAGTGAAAGAGTACAAATATAATTAATATTGGCATATTCAGTAGAAAATTATAATTAAAATTATATTATTTTTCTTATTATTCATTCAATTTTTCTCGTGGCCCATAGTTTGTGAGATATATTTCATTAATTTCAAGCAAAATTTCGCAAACACATATCTTTTTTTCAAAAAATTGTACATTTTTTTTAAAAATGGACCTTTTTTAAAAAGTTATTTTGTACAACAAACCGTTTCAGGCAAAAATCACCATCTTCTCTTTTGTAGTTTAAAAAAGTTTGTTGCATTTTTTGAAAAATCCAGCAATTCCCGAAAATGAGACTAGTGCAATATTTCTTACGTTCCTTATTAAATATCTGGAGAAAATTTAAAGAAACAGTTTGGGGTGGTTTGGATTAGATTTACTTATTTAAAATGTACATTAGATGAATTTTTTTTGTGAAGTTGGCCGATCTGGAAAGAAGTCCCTTTCTCGGTAGGTGCAGCACGCTGCACTTTTACACCGTGGAGAGCGCTTGTGGAACATGAGCGTGTGTGGAAGGATCTTTGTTTCAAAATAAACCAGGGTAGTGATATTTTCGAAATAAAATAATTTTATTTGCGTTCAACGTGTCGAAGCAATAGTGCTTGTTGCGAAGTGCTGGAGTCGAACGTAAGTGTTCAGTGGAAATCAAAGCCAGAGCTACGAGCGCTACCTGACTCAATCACGACGCATAAAATTATGAAGTAATGATTCAATATAGACTTTTATTTAACTTAGTTTAAAATAATTTGAATTGCTTACATATAGCAACAGCATATTTGGCTACGCTGTAATAGGATACAGATCTCAAACAACCCTAACCAATAAAGGAAAACATGGGACTTGAAATGCCGGGCTTTTTGAATTCTGAAATCGGAGATATTGCGGCGAACCTCTACTTTAATATCTAATAATATACAAAAGGAAAGAAAAGATGGATGTGTATTATTTGAACCTTCCAGCCATAGCCACCACTACCCGCGAAGTGTTATTAGTAGAGCCCGGAAGTTCCGGCATTTATTTTTTACTAAAATAGGCATTCCAAAAAGGTATTTATTCTAGCTAAAGTAGGGTTGCAAAAAAGGCATGTAAACAATGAAAACTCACTCGTAAAAGGAATTGTAAAAATTTAATAATTAAAGTTATTCAAACTGAAATTTACATTATCACTTAACGTGTAAGAAAAAGGATATTTTCTTTGTAATCTTGATTCCGCGTGACCTCGAGGTATGATGGCTCCGAATTTCTTTTTCTCGCGACGCTGACACTTCAAAATGCTACCGTGAACTCCCTTTTTGATCTTGAAAAGCAAGTAGTGGAAACGGAATTATATTTTTCGTTCTTCACACTTGTATTATCGCCGAAACTGAGATGTGTATATCATATAGAGAGCTGTCACCAAAAGGATAGGTGATCTTACTCAAAAGTACAATGGGGTTGCTCATTAGCGAACAAAGCCTGTCGGCATCGATGAAAAAAATCCAAAATCTGTATTGGTATCATCTACCTTTTTCATTAATATTTTTATCACTGCGTGTGCTTCCACAGTTCAGGCTTGTAGGTAGTATACGTACGGTAGTATCCAATTTCATCGCGATCGGTGCCAGGAGAAACTAGTGGTGCTAAAAAAGCACGTACTTGCTCGCCCTTGAGTAACGGTTATGTAATGTTATACAGCATTTCTGTCTAAGTCAACACATCTCAGTTCATGAGTGTCGACAACAAAGCGCGCATGCAGCGATGGGCGCTGCCAACAATGGGCACGTATTTCTTATCAATTCTTCCTAAAAGCGCCATTTATGTCATAAATGAAAGGTGGTCCGTAGTTGGTGTGGAACCTGTATATATTTCATTAATTTCACGCAAAAATTCAGTTAACCAGGTAACTTCCACAAGCGGTGCACCGCCCCAGTCGGAACAAGCTCTAAGCCACCGACCGGTCTCCAGATATGTGTGGTAGTAGAGCACATACTGGCGTGTATGTGTGAATCGGGGTGTGGATAGGAGAAAGAAGCGGTAGGAAAGATCGCGCATGGTCCGTGGCCCGTTTGTTAGGGAACTGCTTCGGCATTCGCTTGGTGTTGATCGGAGAAAGCAGTGGATACTAACGATCAGAGCAGCTGGCCGCTAGTGTTCTCCTCCAGATAGCGACTGAATTCGACCTAGCTATGAAGCTAGTGTCGAAAATCCTGCCACCGTCGGGACTCGAACCTAGGACTTCCCGGTCAAAGGGGAAATGGCCTTTATGTTGTGACGGAGACTTTGGTGTACTGCATACACGTAGTTTATTTCCATATATGCATATAAGTCGTGCCATTTACTGCCGGTTCGTTCGTTCGTTCCCTGTTAACATCTGTCATGTACCGAACAAATCGTCTGGCACGTGCGGCGCCACACATTCGGCATTCGTCAATTTGCGAGCGAAAGCTCGCTCAATCCCGAACAGCTGATTTGCTCGGCGAAAGTTCGCTTCCTTTGATACGTGCAAAAGATCGACACGCGGTGGGTAGGGCGAGCACTTAAGTTCGTCGCTCGGCAAATAGCAAGCGAACCATCCACACTAAGCGGGATTCGGCGAGCGGGCGCTCGCTACTCGCCTATTACCGAATGTGAGGCGCCTAAGCCCCCTTCATACCCTAACCGCACTGCTGCGACAGCGGCGCTGAAGAGGTTTCCGGAACCGAAGCCCCTTTTGCTGTCCTCTCCCACCCGTGTAGGCTCACTGCAGCCCCATGGCAACCGCGTGCTCTTGCCACACATGCGCAATGTCGTGCTATTACGCGCACTTTCCGCACGAAACGTTTTTTAAAAAATTAAGCAGTTTTTGAGACAATATTATTTTTGATATTGCCCATGTTGCACTCAAAATTGTGCAAAAGTTCTATTTTCAAAAAAAAACTATACAACATAATATTAATTAAAGAAAAAATTGCGGGGAACAAATTTCATTTGCAGAAATAATCTCAATATTCAGTAATGTAGTTGTAAGAGGGGGTCCAAAAAAAGTCCGACTTTTTCAATTTTCAGAAAGTTGCAAATTTTATAAACAGTGAAAATTGGACCTACGCCATCTTTATAAGTGTATTTTCAAAAAGTGGGAAATTTTACAAACAGTGAAAATTGGACCTATGCTCTCTTTATGAGTGTAATTCGCTCAATTTTTTAAAAATTCCAGTCATTTTGGAAAAAAATTGGAAAATGTCCCGTCAGCTTAATGTACAGAAAGTCATAAGCCACAAAAGAATGCATGTAATTATCATTCAAAATCCTTCTTAAGGAGTTTGACAGATATACTTGGGGCTATACAACTTACTTTTGCAAAAACCCTTCCCCTTGAACCATTTAAATAAATATTTCGCAAAATGTATTTTTCAATATATTTTCCTCCACTTTCAACCTAGTTAATTTGGTAGAAACTTATTACTTAAGAGACTTACAATGTGAAACTGAAAATGTTTTCAAATTTTAACAAATTGGCTTCAATTTGTTTGAAAATTATATATGTTATATTTTAAAATTTGTGTATTTTTTTAACATTTACAATAGGATTATATTTGATGGTTTAATGAATTCTACCAGCTCAGAAGCTTTTAGTTATTTCCTTTGCTGCTTCTCAATTTTTTTTGTCAACAGAAGAACAAATAATGACACTTTTCAAAAAAGTACAGAAAACAGTTTTTTTTTTGACAAACACATTAGGTTCTTAAATGACTTTTAAAAACAAAATTTTGATGAAATTTGTGTGGGTTAAAATTAAGAAAATGGGAGAAATGTAAATTCAATAGAAGCTATCAACTTCAATAGCATTGTTACATTGCAAAAAATTATCCACAGTAATCATAGAAATATTGTGTATTCGAAATTTGTTTGTACTTCTTGGAGAAAATGTGAATACTCGGAATGAATTTGGTACTCGTTATTAGAAGGAACAGTCTTTCATGTAAAAACATATTTTTTCAGGAACATAACTGCATTCAATATAAATTTTTTGAGTTTATAAGATTTTCTGAATGAATTAGAACCCTTTTATTTTAGATATTTTGGTAATATTACTTACTTTACACATTACTTCATCTTTCTTAAACATTTCATATATTTTATACTTTGAAATAGACCATTTCAAATGGGAGTTTGCAATATTTATTACTGGAATCATCTTTCTTACAAGGTCATGCCATGCTATTGTGTTCCTACAACCACTGGATCTTTGCCATGAATTGTCAAACTTCCCCCCTCTTGTGATGCAGAAGCAAATTTCAACCATGAGCTTAATTGTGATTTATAGAGTCCATGCATAACTCCCTCAAAATCTAACAAATATTTTTTACAAATCATTCTCTTCCCTTTGTTGGATTTGGGTTGGAGGAGGGTAGTTCCCTTTTACCCCTCCCCGGAATTCAATGTTGGCTTCACCGAAAAAAAACAAAAAAAAAAACGCTAGAGTATACTTGATACTGTAACAAGGAAACTTGTTACAGTATCATGGATCTGGTATACTCCAACTTCTTTTTTCGGTGTATTCACTTTGCGCACCGAGACTTTGTAAACAACATTGAATACACCATTACGAACGTATTTTATATTTAATATATAAAAGACAATGTTTGTTTGCCGGTGCTTAATGCGCTGCCGTACATACAACCGATTGAGATAAAACTTAGTCAACTTATTGCTTGCACCTGCGGGAAGAAGATAGGCATATTATAATGGAATGCGCATATACCTGCGCACATAGTTGCGCGTTGATGATGTTTTTATCTTTTATTTATTTAGGGGCGCTTTTCGTTGCTTTCTACGCAACCCGCGGCCCACTGAAGCACGATTATTAAGACGTCTTCATTGCGTGTTCTGCCGTTGCAGAAATGAAGTTTCTCCCGGGAGAGAAAGAGACGCAAAGAGAGAAACAAAGCGACACGGACAGAGAGAGACCGGAGCACACTCGCAGAAAGTCCATTCAAATTTGTGCAGAGCCTAGCATAAAACGTGTTAACAATCACGTGACCAGTGGCATATGAAGTGTAAAACATTGCAATTACGAAGCATTGGCGGGTCCTCTAGTTACCTATAAAATGCTTGTGATGAAGACTTGTGTACAATTACTTCTTTAGATGTAGACCTTTTTCCAGATGCCTCTGAATCCTCATTACGGTTTGATGATGTTCTGTGCTCACAAAACACATGAATAGAGTCATTTTAAACAATAAAATGAATAATTAGGTACACATTTTCTTGAAGGTTTTGGAAAAAAATACAAATACTTTTTAAATTTTTTATTACAATAAATTCCATTTACTAGTTATTATGGAAGACAGTAGGCCCAAAGCAGAAATACTTTTCAATATAGCAGTGTCTCTATTGCAATGAATTTGTCAAATGTTCTTTCAATTAGTTTTTTTAAAGTAAGAATTATTGACTAATTTTTAATAACTTCACCACCAATATTGTATTTGAGAGAAAGAATATTCCTTTAATAACACTTGCAAAAATAAAAATAAGTGGTTCCTTTCCTTAAAAACAATTCATGAGAATTTCACATTTCAAAAGTACCTTACTTTCAATGACTAAATTACATGCTGCTGTTGTCTTCAGTAATTATCTACAGAAACTTGAAAATAATATACTAGCATGCTCCTCATAATTTGACAACCAATTGTGGGAAATAAAAATAACAATGGAATTTTCAATATGATTTAAAAGGTGTAGATTTGCATTTGCTTTTCTATCAAGTAAGGTTCACTTGTATTCTTGAGCCTCTCTTTATTATAAACACTTTTGCAGGCAACACGCTTTAAAATTAGCTGTTAGTAGTGCAAGATCTAAGGCACAAGAAATAGCATTGTCTTCCGGCCAACAAGCTGGCCAAGCCCTAATTGTTGAAGAAAAAGAAAGTCGCATTACTCGAGTAAAACCATTACCACCTAACTTATGGGAATCCATATCAAAGAAGCGATTTTCACAAGCACATGAAATTCAGAGCCGTATTGTTGCTGTATATGAATTAACTCCTGGAAATAAATGTAAGGAGTAACTGGCATAAACATTGTTTTATGCAGTCAGAGGGTAAGTAACTTATATTTGAAAATATATCATCTGTTAATAAACATAAGCAAATAATTTAGATGTGATTAAAGTGCATTATTTTGTCATTGAGGGTATAAACGAATTCTATTTACAGATTTCTTGATGTTCATTTATGTAACATGGATTGTTTCTTGTTCAAGCTCAATTATTGACAATACGAATAGAAGGTGAAAATGAGTGGATGAAATTCTGCTCTCATTACTTTCTTTAAAATGCTAAAGCTGAGAGTTGAGATCTGCTGGTCAATTAAGCACATCTTCAACTTCTTCTATATTATTTTAATTAAAAGCTGAAAATCAGTTCTTTCAATAATTTTTTGAATTGAATTGAATTTGCCTTATTTTACGTGGCGAGACTCGGGCCATCTGGCTCGCTCTTCCGTCTGACCATTTTGAACTATGATTACTTATTCCAAGGAGGAAAACAACAAAACAAGATGCTGTTCTTTGTTAAAATCAACCCAGCAATTTGAACACTAAATTAGGTTCAAAGTTAGTTTTTAAATTGAGTGTTAGTTTTATTGTACTATGTTTAAGGTTCAAGCAAAATATTCTATTATAAGATGTGCTCCTGTAAGAAATGAAATTAATCAAGTCTTCAAATCCTTAAAAATATTTTAAATGATTAATTATTACATACAGTTAAATGGAGAATATTAGCTTGTTATACGATAATTAATTAATCAAAAATGAAATGGAGCCTTCGCAAACAACGATACTGCCAAAATTGATATATCAGAATTACGTGTGTTACATTAATTTATATTAATGACTAATGACATAAACATTCACAATTACAAAAATACTTGATATTGAGTGACAGAGTAAATATTATGAAATCAATTGATCAAAATATTTTTAACTTTTGTCCTGGATGCTGTCAATAGCAATGACTTTATTTACACAAATGCAAAATTACATTAAATAATAAACTATATTTCCATACTCTTCAATCACAAGAACCAAAAGTTTTATTTCTCAAAATTAGACCTTTCCAACATTGCTATTACTGGCAATCGCTCACATTAACTCTTAATTATTAGCAAAACTAGTGATCTGTAGCAGCAAAAATGCTACTGAATAAAACTTAACATAACATGAACAGCGCAAAATAACAGCAATAATATTTAGCATTCCAGTCCAACAATTCTTTTTGCAGTCGGCAGTCAGTTCTTTGGAGCTTCTTGCTGCAACATGACGTCAACTACGTTACATGCTCTGACGCACAGATTATGAAAATTCAGTCAGTACATGCCTAGTGAGAGGCAAAATAAAAATAAAATATTTGCATTTGAATGAAAATAATATATATATATAATATATTATATATATATATATATATATATATATATATATATATATATATATATTTTTTTTTTTCATTCGAAAATGCAAATATTTTATTTTTATATCTATATATATATATATATATATATATATATATATATAAATATATATATCCATGGGATAAAATCACCCTTTTAGGATCAAATACGTAGCAGCTGCGATGAATGTGGAGCAAAACCAATAAGGTATCCCAGATCAGATTAGTAAACTAACTGGAAGGGCAAAGTGCTGTTCTGTAATTTTCCATACCACCACTAAGTTTTCAATTTCTGTAATTTGATATCTTTTGTACACCTTTCCTGCACAAACTTCGTTAGTTATTTATATTCAAACTAGTTACTTATAATTTAGAGGTTTCGCTTTGCAATATCTAATTCCTTCTCTGCGTTGAGTAATAAGAGTCCTAAGCACTGTGGAGTTTGTCTCAGGGAACACATGCCCACTTTCACCAACTACAGTACATGGGCCTGTGTCACAGGAGCATTGTGTTGATGTGCATCAAAGCACATTGTCAAGAGCGCTCATGTGCAGGTTTCACATAAGATACAGCGTTAAACTGCAATGCATGTAAAGTGACTTGTGTGTGCAGGCACCTATACAGATGACTTCATCAGCGTTTGGTGACACGCATCAACATAACAGACTTAAATTGTTGTACCAAACAACCTGGCACTATTTCGTCATTTTTGATATAAGTACATAAATAAATAAAACATTAGGCAAACATTGTTGAAGAAACGAAATTTTGATATGGTTTGAAAATATGAACACGGAACACCACTTACATTACTTCACATTACATTAATGTGAATAAACTATCATTTAATGCCATCTATTTCCCCACCAAAATATGAAAAATCATAAATCTTTGCTGTGTTGGTTTGGAGTAGTTTTTGTACTAAAAAAATGTACAGGGAATACAGAGGTAAATTAAGTCACATACTTGACAAAGATCAATTATGCATAATGATTTCATTTATTTTAACTTAAACACGTATATACAATCTATAAGAGGGCTATGTGGTGCTTGACCAATCAGCGTACAGGTAACCAAGGCCGAAAGATTTCTGCATATTTTTTCCTTTCTGCAAAATAAAAAAGAATAGTAAGTTACAAAACTTGTATGTATAGAATGTTTAACAGAAATATAATACAAAAAATATCTGTCTGAGAAAAGATATATTATTGGGCCAACTATTAATTACAATTATAATACACACAGAATACACATTAGAATTTCAAATGTTTTTTGGTTATTTATCATCTATGAAAAACACATTTCAATAGTATTTCACTTAAAGTTAATTGGATTTCCAGGTGCCTCAACTACTTTTGTCATTAGTCTCGTAAGTGTTGTGCATGCTATATATCAGGTTCCTCCTTCCTTCGAACATGCTAACCGATGTCGACATACTGTTTGAGAGACATTCACCACCGGGTATTATCTTTGTTGTGAAGATCTCATAAACTTCCAACTGATCTCCTGATGTGTGTGAAGGTGATATGCTCATACGTGTGAGTGTGTGTATAATGGGAAAGGAAGGGACTAGTTTGAGCAAGGGAAGATAGTGCATTATCTGCAACCAATTTGTTAAGGTCCAGCATTTACCTGGCATGGATCAGAGAAAAACCCAGAAAATTACCGATATGAGCAGACATTCGCCAGAATTCTTTTCCAGGCAGTGGCTGATTTTGACCTAGCTATGAAGCCTAGGTCGAAATTATCTGCACCCATTGGGACTTGAAATCTTGGGCCTCCCAGTCAGACCCTGCTATGGCAAAATTTGCCTTGAGCTAGCACAGCTAATAAATAGGACTTGTAATATTGAATATGCATAAATGATGGAGAAGATACAAAACAAATCATTTTTTGAATATGTACACCACACTTTTTTCTAAACAAGAAAAATATTTATATCTTTTTTATTGTTATCAAATTGAACTAAGGCATTACTGTTATACACCATGTGCGTTAATTTGAGCTTCACTTGTGCACTTTCAGACAGTTGATAAGAGTGAAATATAGTGTATTTATTTTTAATTTAAGAGACAATTTGCCCAAATAATTACAGGTAAATAATTACAACTCAATATGTGATTATAGAAAACAAAAACACTGACTAGAGAACTACAACAAAAATTACAAGAATAGGGACATGAAGATGCTAAAAATTAAAGTACAGCTCACATATAACGTTAATAGAGAAAATAAACCAATAAACAAAACAAAAGAATTAACACTATTATGAAAATATTGACAAAAACAATTTACTCAGTATAAGAAATCTTTCCCATTAAAAAGGTTACTCGTCACAGCATTGCTGAACGCTGCATCATTTGATGAAAGGGTTGTTAGCTGTGTAAGAATGCTCATAAAACTTCAGAGAAAAAATTTGGGGTCTTCTGGTATTGAATTTGGGAACTTTAAAACACAATAGATTTAGTAAAAGTGAACAATCAATAGTACCACTAAAAAGTTTTCACAAAAACATCATATCAACATAATCTCTATAAGATTTCAATGGATTTTAAAAGGGTCCTGAACCTGTACAAGGTATGCAGCAGGTTTAAAATACTTATGTTGAACTGTTTCAACTAGAGATACGTTCGAAAAACAAGGTGACCAAACAACATAAGAGTACATAAGTATTGGTCTAATCAAAATCAAATAAAGTGATCTCAATATTTGTAATGAGTGCAAATCATAGCATGTATGCATAATAAAGCCTAAAAACTGATTGGACTTATTAACTGTAATAAGATATTTTTTAAAAGACATTTTGATGTCCAAAACAACTCCAAGATCTTGTATAGTTGACACTCTTTCAGTAATCATCGTGTTAATAATATAACCCCCTTTGATCAACGTTCTAGTTCTAGAGAAAGTAATTGTTTTACATTTCGAAGGATTTGAATTAAGATTGTTATTTGTGTACCATTTGAAAAATTCATTTAGTGGTTCCTGTAACACAATTTTAACTTGAGGAGATTTAAAGATCATAAACATTTTTTTAGGTCAAAAAGATGAAATTCAACATTCCTTATAATATCACCAACATCATTAATAAAAATTTAAAATAACAGGAGACCCAGGTGGGAACCTTGGGGTACCTCAGATAAAACATCTATAGGTTCAGAAGTAGCATTTCTAACGCATGCTGTACACAACTCAACAAATAATGACTAAACCATTGAAGTAGAGATCAGCATATACCAAAACGTTGCAACTCGCAGAGAATGGAATGATTCACTGAATGCAAGGCCTCACAAAAGACCATATGAATACTATCAACTTAAACATTATTCTCCATTCCATTAAGTATATATTTACAGTAATATATGAGATAGGCCTCAATATTCCTTCTCCTAATAAAACCAAACACATTCTCTGACAGAAGTGGACAGATAAATTCATTCAATTTATTAACAATTATTAATTCAAATAGTTTAGGAATTACATTCAAAATCGTAATTGCTCTATAATTAGAAAAACAATTCTTATCACCTGATTTGAAGATTGGTACAATTTATGAGGATTTTCACTCCGATGGAAACATTCCTTCAAATAAGGATTTATCAAATAGAACCTTCAGCAATTGAGAGAACACATTTTTTAACAAAATTATAGGCATCCGATCAGGACCTGTTTTCCCTTTTATGTAAGCTTTTCAATTTTTTTTTTAACTTGCAAATCCATTTACAATAGACTGAGTATTTACAAAGGCAACTGCACCACTCATCGAGTCAGGCAAACCTCAGCTAGTTTTTTTTGAGTTAATGCATTTCCAGAAGTTTCTCTTATCAGTACTGATATGTTGAGCAAAACCTCATGAAGTCACCTTTTGCTTGGCTTTTACATTTATATCTCAGATTTGAAAACAAAGTATAATACAATGGAGAGTCGAACACTTTGTAGCATTTGTGAGCTTTCTTCTTCCTCAAAACTAATTCTTTTATATCCTGACTAACCAGTGAGAAAACTTTGATTTTTCTCAAGATCTTTTTACGAACAAAGAGATCAATACACTGATAAATTTATAAGTAAAACATGGAAATAGAATCAGAAAAGTAAAGATTGGAAGATGAGTATAAAGCATGTTAATCATAAAGATGATTCCATCCTAGAGTAGTCTGCATTAGTAGTCATAAATCTAATGTTCTTTATAAATATCATTACATGTTGTGGAACCCTGATAATTCAAACATAAGGGAGGATGGTAAGCATCAACAGAAACAACTTACTCAGGTGAATATAACAGTGTAATAAGTGGAATCAGAAAATATTAGATCGAGCATACCATCGTTCTTGTTAGTTATTACATTACATTTGAAAGCGATTAAAAAAAACTAATTGCAACACCTAAAATTTCGGCGCAGATTTTAGTTAGAAGGAAGCAAATAAAAAACACTGTTATTTAAATAAATAACATTTCAAATTCAAAACAATGGGTGGAATGAACTATAAAGCAGCATTTGTTCAAAAGTATATTCACTGACATTTAAGCATATGCTCAAGTTCCTATGAATAAAAATATTCTCAATGCGAGGAGTAAATTTTCATAGCAAATTGAGAATATTCTGTTCCCATTCTGCAATTGTGTTGCAGATATGCAGATGTGTGCAGGTATGTTCCCAATTTTGTTTTGACCAGGTAACATTCACACTAGCAGTTCTATTTACATTTTGTTGCATTACATTTTTGCTTAAACATACTTTTCTAATAATACATAGATTCTTTAATAGGAATGTGTGTACAATACATTGATGGCTGAGACTCAAGCTGTAAGTCCTTTCCTTTTTTTACCAAAATGAGATTGTTTTATTGTGAACAACGTTCCTGTCTACAGGTGGATCAAACCAAATTCTACATATTTCACTTCATAAGTTTGGATCAAATCCATTCAACATTAACCCATTCCTCGCTTACCCACTACATTCAAAAACTTTAAATTACTCTCCTGAAAAATGTAGTAAAATTTTTATTCATGAGGATGCATGAACATATGCTCTACTGGGTCTAGGAATGCAAATATTTTCTAAAGTTTCAGTATTTACTAATATTTTGAGAATATTCTTGAAACCTATTTATATGCTACCAAGCATCAGCTCAGAAAATGCAAGTAAATAGCATTTGCTCATATTTCTTTTCATACAACCTACTTTTTTAATTTCAACAGACTTCAGAACATTTCATACTGTAACATTATAATATTATCAGACTATAACTTTTGACAATGGCTGGGCAAAACGATTTTGGAGTCAATTATAATTCATGTCTGACTACCCTCGGTCAAAGAGTATTAATAAAACATTCTGGAAGGAAATCAAGATTTTTGACAATCAGGTACTGTAAATTTGAAATGGCATTTAAAACAGATTTTAGGGAGCAACAAATTTATTAAACAGAATCATCAAAATTGCCAAATGCATCTATTAAAATTGCAACCAGAATTTTTGTATAATATTCCCCAAATGAATGAATTGTGTTTAATTCCCAAGGAAAGGTGCAAAATAATAAATAAGTCACATGCAATAATTTTAGAAAGAAAATGTACCAGGAGCTGGGAAGTCTTCAGGATGCAATTCAACATAGTGACGGAACACAGCATCTCTTTCTGCAAAATATATTGCTCTTTGTTTCTCTACGAAATGTCCACCAACGATGCCAAGAGCTGCAAAACCAATGTGTTTCTGGATTCCTACAAAGAAAGTTTCGGTGTTACTGACGACTAATATACACTAGTCAATACCTCCAAATATCAATTGAATACATGGGAATTGAAACAAACCACTGTAGATTGGACGCTTTGCTATTCCATTCATTGCACATGCAATGATAAAACCTATAGTACCGCAAGCAACAGACCCATAGTACGTTGAAAGCAGAGGTTCTTCCCGATCTTTCGGAGTCAGTAATTCCAGAGGGCTCGTCATCACGGTATTATTAAATTACAATAATTTTATATAGTAAAAGAGCCGGACGCAAGGATAACAAGATCGCAACGTTCTTGGTCTTAAAAAAAACCTACATCAAAATCAACCAAGCACGTCCACAATCGTAACTTTGTAATAAATTATAGTACAGAACAGCCTCAGCACAACCACCTCGACCTCCTGTGTGTCAGCCAGGCGTAAAACAGTCACTAAGAATATCAGATTCTACGTTCTTGCGAATAACTGTAACTTCACTGTCGTGCGATAGTAGCGCTCCGGTGGGCAGTTGTGGACAAAACCCGCGAAATTTGAATTAGATATACCCGCCAAATACGAATCGCTAAAAAGAGCTACTTTCAAAAGAAAACAACTAATGCTGAACCAAAGTTTTTGTTGCAAATGAAATTTAACAAATTTATTATTGATTAACAATATAATAATGAAGTTTATTAGTAAGCAAAATGAATAAAAAAATCGGGGCATATAATGTATTAATTTTCTTTAAAAATAAATAACCAGCAAATGCAAACTAATACTTTGTTATTTGTCTTTTCCAGTTTCAATTGTCACAGGTATGGATTAATACAAAAGAAAACAAAATATAGTAATATTTATAAACTTTATTGATACATATTTAAAACTTCTCAACTTCATACACATACAATACAATACAATACACATTCAACAATTACAATGGCAAGCACAATTGCATCAACGCATTTATTTCCATTATAAAATATCAACACAAAGTGAAATTGCGATATATAACAGCCACTGCAAGGAGACTGACTGGTCCAGGGTAATATTTGGGGGCTCACTCCCATGAACATGCTCTCACTTGGTACTGAAATGAAAATTAATCGGGCATTTACCTCTTTATACATACTCATGCAGCGATTCGGGCATTCGACGTCTGTGGCGCAGTGGCATGTTAACTATGAGGATTTGAGTTCGAGTATCGGAGAGGAAAAATAGTTTGCTGCTTGAAAACACTTTTGCTGGTTTATGTAGTAGTATGTTGCGGAGCACTTGGAATCAGTGCGAGAAAGTATATGCTTTGGCAGCACCACTAGTTAATTTTGAAAATTATCTTTCTCCCGTGGCTACTGTAACTAGCAAAGTTAATAAAATTTGTAATATCACGCTAATATTAGGGAAAGGTGAAGTTAGTATATTTTGATATATGAATTCTAATACTTCAATTGGTACTGATTTTGATTAGAGAAATTTCATATTTATGTTTAGTTCATCTGCGAGTACTAATGCCTTTATATCTTTTGAATTAAGTATCAATTTCATCGATCAGTTTAAATTATAGACCCATACAAGTTTTTAATACACTGATTTACCAATTTCTGCTTTTTTTAAAAGTCACATACAAAATTAAACGCATCACTTTGCACTTTAGATTTATTTACTCAAAAAACAGTAAAAAACTGTATGTGACGTATGAGGGAGAAGATAATCTGCGCACGTTTTCTTGAGTTCCAGAATCCATTCCCATCATTTTAACTATAAATAGATGAAAAATGTATAAAAATTAAAAACAAATTTAAAATAATAATAATAATAATAATAATAATAATAATAATAATAATAATAGTAATAATAATAATAATAATAATAATATTTTTAAAAAAGCGCGACAATAGGGACATTTGAAAAACTAGACATTTTTGTTCCCGGGCAATAGAAAACTTATATTCAACGGTAAGCGAACTGCAGATTTTATTTTCTGCATTACTAACAAAAAAGTAACACGCCCTTACCTCTACTCCTACCACTACAAGAAAAAGGAGAGTTCAAAAAAAACGTGGGCATAGTGAAGCTACATTTACGTTCAGAAACAAAACAAGGGGTCATCTCAGCATTTGCTCAATATATCAGGAAAATTGAACAAAAACCTTGATAGGAGCAATTGAACTTTAAGCAATAGATGGGACTTTAAGCAATTGAAACCTTTCATCTACAGATGAAACTACGATCTCAATAATAGCCGTCTGTAAGGATATGCGTTTCATACGGTATGCGAAAATTCTTTTGGATCATTTGTACAGTCATTGTCTCATAATCGAACATAGTTTTCTATTTTCGACAGCGTGTATGTGGGGGGAAATCTGCATCCACATCGTAAAAATTAGCAAGCTTAGTGATTAGTATTTCATCAAAAGTATTGCGAAGTCTGATGTTCGTTTTAAGAAGAGGGGGCCGGTTTTTAGAACCTCTGATGCCCCTGGCGAATCCGAAAATGGAAGCCTCTCATACACACGGGGAGATATTTCATTCAGCGATAAGTAAATACATATGAATTGCACCTGTATTGCTACCAATAAATAAGAAACTTTACAGCTGACCAAAAAAGGTAGAGGTTGAATTTTGCGAGAATGTACCATTTGTGTATTAATAAATGGAAAATTAATATTACTTCAAATCAATAGAGCAAAACATGTACAAGGCAGTGAGCTCAATTTCATTTGGTAAGTGATAACGGAGATTCAAGTATTGTTTCCCAAAGCTGCGAAAATGTAATGGACATACTGTAAAACGGTGCCAAACAAAACAGCTTTATCTCAAAAATAATTTTACCTATAAAGATACAACACCAAAGATTTTTTGAGATAGGTGGGACTTGGCATTCAAAATTTCATAAAAATCTCATAAGAAATCGCGGGGTACTTTTCTACCATTTGTTCAAATGGTAGCTCACCATTTGCGCCTTTCGCCCCCACCTGCTTAACCCTCCTGTACCGTCCTCTGATTCACAATGAATGATGGAATCAAAATTAAATCCTCATGCCCTATTTGATAAATACTTTCCTCCAGTAAAATTTCTAATGAAAGTTCGCGATCTAGGCGTTTCTCTGACGACCAATAACTCCTACCTTAAGCGATGTTGCTGCTGGATCAGCGATCGGGGCCCGCCTTTTTATGCATTCGCCCTCGGTGTAGGGGTGACTGCTTCCACGTCATTGGCCTGCGCCGCGCCGTGGACATAGCGCGCAACAGTATTGCGGGCTGAAGGCGCGCCCTTTTCAAATCGCTCCGCGCTCGCTCACCCGGCCCGCAGACACTCTCTTGTTGCGTGGGCGTGTGGGACGAATGCACTCACCCGCGTTCGTCACAATGTCAAAAATTGTGTAAGGACATTTCTGTGACAAGATTATGATATTTTCCGCCATTTTAATGGCTTCTACGACGTGAACGAAGGCAAGGCGCTAGAGAACAACGGCATCAGAAGCTGAAAAAGAAGACGGTCGGGACCAACAACGTGCGCTTGCATCTAGAAGACAAGACGCGCCAATACCGCACCACCCAGACCCCAAGCAGGTGGCAACCAGTCTAGCACCCCCCCACCTGCAATAATACTGCAAAGGAGAGCATCAAGCCGGAGCCACCCACCCAATATAATATATATATTATATCAGCTCTCCCCCTCCCCTCCTCCCTGAACAGCCGCAAGCACGGCCGCCGCAGCCACAGCGACAGCTGCACCGCGGCGCCAACAAAGCCCCCGCACTGATGGAAACGCTTATAGTACGAGACCGGCAACTAAGAACCCTCCCCCTCCCCCTCACGGCAAAATGAGCAACGACAGCCCCAACCGAAGAACAAACAGGAGAAGTAAATACGAAATTATTGAACTGAATTCATTGATTGCATCCTATTCTAAAGGAGTATTTCCGTTAAGGGCGAGAGGGCGGGATTTCATGAATATGGTATGTTCCCAATATTTTAGGAGTGTATATTTCTTGTGGGTGTGCAGAAAGCGAGTTGAGACGAAGAATGCCCTGAAAATAATGTTTGTCAGATTTCGATCGACGGGCTGTATGTAACAAGGGATGAACTTTGAAATTACCGCTGTAGCGGCAGCGAGAAAGTAAAGACCCCTTCAGACAAGTATTTCTGACGAAAAGTGGTACTTCTCGCAGCAACATTACAACACTTTCTCTGTAATACAAAGCATTAAATAAGAATGTAAACATTAATTTTATCTTCAGCTCTAATGAAACATTCCATATAAGGAAATCTTAAGGTCACTGGACACTACTTCTCCCCACACACACAACACAAAGAGAAAGCTTGGCTTCCTCACCACTCAAATTAATAGAAAATCAGGGGTACAATGAAATATGTATAGATTCTATAAGATTCATAAAGAATGACTCACAGGAAATATTGAATGAATAATGGTTTCAATATATTTATTTTTCTATAAGTGGTAAGGGATGTTACAATTAAAATGGATATACTTGACCCATCATGTGAACATCACTCATGTTTAGGTGAAATACTACAAAAAGGAAACCTATACTTTATACCAATATAAAAAATCAAGTGTTAAAAAACAATTGTAATATTTTTCCATTACAAAATTCACAGTAATATAATTTATTTTAAAGTGAGCAGAAAAATTTCTTCTTAACTTTTGCATTGATAATATAATTTGAACAGAGAAATGTTTCTTGAATGCTGGGTCAAGTAACATATTTTGGCATAGAAATAGTTTCCATTTCTGACAGAAAATTATACATTCATATTTATAAAATGAAAGTCACGACGAAAGTTTCATGACACAATAATAACTATTTATGTTTCCTTTCTCAACTTATTCAATCTGTATGAAAATCACTTTGACATTTTTTTTAGAAAGTTTGGGAGTCCAAAACAAGTGTTTTAGGTGTGTTTTTGTGTTAAAAGAAAGTGGTGGAAAAGTGTTATTGTGTGAAGTCACAAATATACTGCTATATGTTCATCTATATAGGTTTTCAAGGAAAACAATCACAATATTTGTGTAAAATCATCAAAAACACTTCTTAAAGATCTTTTAAGCATAAGTCTTGTATGAGTATCATACTCTACATGACTGAATGAATTCACTTACATTTTTTTACATTTCATACAATGAATTAACGTCATGTGAGTTTCAATAATATTTCATTTACTTTATGTGATATTATAAAGTAATGATTCTGGAAGTTTTCTTTGCAATTGAATTGCTGATTTTAATTTAACTGTGTAAAACCTTCACTTTCAAATTAAAATTAGTTATTATCATCATTGTAGCAAAGTGTATACTAGTACAATAGACTATATTCATTTTAGATTCTGGAATATGTAAATGGGAGCAACACAATGACATAAAATAGTAGCTCCAAAATATACTTTGACAAATAAGATATTTATTACACAATTAATGAGGGAATATAACACTTCTATCATAAATGAACATTTTTATACAATAACATTACTTTTAACATTGAACATAGAATTTTTCTGTGAGTATCTGGTTATTGTGATTATGAAATCAATAAATGTCTTTAGTGGCTAACTTAGCCACAAATTTACTACATCCTCTCTACACAATATTTACACATCTTTCATTGCATTGAAGCTGAAAGGACATGTCATCTTGATTTCACCTTTAAAACGTCATTATCCAGTTGTGGAATAGATTACAATTTTTTTAAATAATTTGTTTAAAGAATGATAGTACATTGGTCAGTGTAGGAGCTGGAGGAAGATATATGAAAATATTTCTCTGGAAGTACAATTAGAAGGGTCTGTTAGCACGCTTGACAAGGAATGGACATAGGGAACTGTGAATAGGAAGTGGAAATGCTGCATGATCATTCTACATTTCTAGCTCAGAGAACAATAGTGTTGCATAAATTTGGAGTTAAATATATGTGAATGAGATAACAGTTTTCTTAAATACTTCAACTGGAGCCAGTACTGACATTTTTTTTCTTAAACTTGTATAGGCCTTCTCAGTTCAAGTATTATTTGAAATGGAACTGTTTTCCTTTCATTAACGAATAATCAGTTTTAACATGAAGTTATTTTGTTCATATTCACATTCAGAATTTTTCTTCAGTTGCGTTTACATGGTGCAACATTTTACAGTACAAGATTTTGATTTTGATGATTAAAAGGATGGATTTTAAAGGATTTCTTTAGCTACGTTTTGTGAAAAGAGTTTAAAAAAGTTTCCTCTGCATGTAATAAATTCATTAAAGATCCTTGATCCCTTTTGAGATGGTACATTCATGGACATACAACACAGTGTACAGGTATGAAAATTGTTTTTCTTGATCATGACTTTTTACAGAGAATTATAACTTAGTGATACAGATAAAACTACTTTTTATACACAAATGTCATTAATGTTTCTGAAATTATTTGAGATATATAAATAAATGTTCCATTAATGCAGCATTTCATCAAAGAGAAATTTTACAGATATTTCTGGTCCCTAAGACAGTGCATAATATAAAAATGACAATACAAAACAGAAGTTGATTTAACGAAAATATTTGTTGGTATAACTATTCTTTTCAAAATGTATCGTGTTTATGTTTTGTTTGAACACAATTAATATTAAAGATATGTGAAATTTTCTGGATAATATCATTGCTAGTTTGATTAAATTAAATAAAAACATAAAATGAACTTGATGTTCATAAGCATTATATTTTAGAAGTAATGTGCAATTAAGTGTAGGTGACTGTCAAATGACTGAGAGCTCTCGCAGTATAATAATTTAGCAATAATAGTTTGTTGATAGAAATTATAAATAATAACTTCCAGCTAGTTTTGGATCTCATGAGGGTGCTACAATGCACATGGCATATCCAAAAAGTAATCCAATGTATGAGGTAAGTGTCCATCAAGTTTTAAAACATATTTGAGTGAATACTAGTTATTCTTCAATATTTCACCATTTATTTGATTCTGTATATTCAGAATAACTTTCTCTTTCTGAGGACACTTTCTCATAATTTTAGTACCTACATTTGGATGAAACCTACTCCTTGAAAGTAATGTAACAATACATCTAATATCAATTGGATTGCCATAAAAACATACAAAGAATGATACATTAGTGGTAGAAAACATGCCAGAATTCTTTTACATGACAAGAACCAATAAGAACCCTAAATATTGGTTTCAGAGGCATTTCTTCCATGTCATACACCAGGCAAACTAGTGGTAAACTAATGGTTTTGAGAATGAGAGTGGGAATGGTATTTCACAATTTCATAATTGTTTTTGACAGGTATTAAGAAATATTTTAGTATTTTTATTTTAAAATTTTAACAATTTTTCTGAGCTAGATTGGAATGGTATCTCATTGCTGGGCAGCATGTCCACTTGCTCGACTACATGTCAGAGTTGTTATGCCTACATTTGACTTCGCGACGACGCCTTTTTCGGCAGAAGAGAGGAAAGCACCCTCAAAAAGAATGTAAAATTTTCTGATTTGAACGACAGCTAGATTAGAAAATTTAAAAATCAAAATAATTTTATGTTGGTACGATATTCTTTGACACAGTTGGTAATTTGAGTAATAGACATTGTAGAAAATACAACCAAATATATTTCTAGTGTCATGTCATGCTGTCGTACAAATTGTGTCAATAATGATGTTCCATTTTCGTTTAGGGTTTCCTCTTTTCATCTGGCACCTCCATTAGAAGTCATCTCCTAACTGTGGTGACTTCCATATTCGACCCATTTCAGTCTGAAGCAGTAACCTACTACTTTACCCAAGCCTGGCCCATTTCTGTGCACAACACGTTCGGGTGATTTTGTACATGCTTTTTTGGAGACGAATGTGTATATATAGTATGTACATACATACATAATTTAGAGGCGTTGGGTGTTATTTTCTAAGAGGTGCAGAACGGTCTTTCTATATAGTAAATCGTTCACAATGTCTTTTCACCTATGCACAAACCAGAGGTATGCAAACAGACTTTTAGGATTTTCGAACTACCGCAACTCGACTTTCTCGCTCGAATGAATGATTTTAACGCTTGGCAAGTAAGATTGCCGAGCTAAACGTACACGATTGTTGTTAAGAACAGTCTTGCCAGTAGATATGATTGTGCAACAAACTCGTAGTACTTTACGATGATAAGTACTTAAAAAAAATCCCATCGTGAACAATTGGTTTTGCACTCATTAATGAATTCGTTTCCATGATATTTATTTATCGGACTATAAAGAAGGAAAGTGAACCTCTATTTTAACACTCAATTCATCAATATTATTAACAATATAAACAAAAGAGATGTTATTGGAAAAATATGTATGTAGCGCATCAATAGGAACCCAAGCTAGCCATCGTATTTTCTGATAGATGCCTTGTTTGCCGTAGAGTAAGTAAAGCGTTCCCATACAAATGCAATTCACCGCCAGACGATGAATCGGAAATTGGTCGAGTTGACTTTAGCGGGCGCGGAGGCCCTCGCGAGTGGTCCGAAGTCGTGTGTGCACACCCCTAGCGCCCAGCGCCGGCCCGTCGCGTGGCGGGGGCGCGGTTAGGAGAGGTAGTAGGTCCAGTAGAGGAAGTTGAAGATGGCGAAGGCGAGCGGGAAGAGCAGGCGCGACAGCTCGTCGATGCGGCGGGCGCGCAGCTTGTTGCTGGGAGGGTGCTCCTTGCGGGCCTTCTCGCAGCACGCCGCCGCGCCCGCGCCCACGCCCGCGCCCGCGCCCGCCATCACGCCCACACCCACGCCCACGCCCACCGCCGCCGCCTCCGCGCCGCCCTTCGGCTGCAACAACAGTCCAACGGCCCAGGGCCATCGCCACGTCAGCCACCCTTCCTAACCACCCACTTTCACCAAAAAGTATATGCTCCTCGTCAATCAAGTTGTACTCGTTTAACTTAAAACATCTTTATTTCATCACATGACGTTTGAGAGTTTGGTTGGCTTCTTTATTAGACGAATTGCAAAAAATATGTCTTTAATGTAAGATCAACTATTCTAGTTCAACATTATGTTTGCAATTCGTCTGATGATGGAGCCAACCAAGCTCTGAAACGCAATATCATAAAATAAAGAATTTGTTTAATAAACAAATTAATACAATTTGATTGTCAGAAGTACGAGGAATTTATCATTTTTACTAAACCATGACTGGACAATTACTTCCTTCAATAATGTTTCAATTTTCTTCTTTAAAATACCTACATACATTTAAAAATAGCATTATTGTTTATAAATGCTATTTTTATATCACATTACTTACCCAGGCTTTAAGGGAAGCTACAGGAGTACATTCTACTAAATTCTAGTACTTTCAAAATATTTATCCACTTTTGTTAGGTGAAGTCAAACATTAAGCCATTATAATCAGTTTCGTAAAGAAGTATTTCACCGCTCTAGTGTGGTAACGTACTTCATTACCACAGTCAGGCGGTAAAGTAATAGCGTACTTTGCCATTCTTCTTTTGAAAATATTTTGGACTTCCTTGTCTTGTATCTTACACTTTTCTCTTTAAAAACACTAATAACTAAGATAACCTACTGATGTCAATGTTTTCTTGGCTGTCCGGTGTATATAATACCAGACGCGGAGCACCAAAGTGTTACTGTCCTGAGGAAGCCTGCGACATGGCGGTTGAAGAGTCGGCGTCTCAGCCAACGACGCGGCGTCACCCGGACAGCCGAGAATACATGAACCCGAGCCCCGGAAGCTTACATTTACATTTGATATCAATTTTGTCATTAAATGATGTTGTACTCTTTAACATGGAGTAATGGGCCCAAAGACTACTTGGTTTATCTTTTTTTGACTTACCAGAAACGTTAAGCAATCAAAACTTTTTCCGATATGGAATGAACGTTTTTTCCCACACCAATCTTTAAAAATTAAATACTCACGCTCGTATTTCTTTCTTGATTTGTTGGGTAACAATGTTTCTAAAGCAGCAGTTGGTGCCATTTCTATTTCCAAATCAGAACTATATTCACTCATGTCGAAAAGTATACACCAAGTGTGTTTTACTTGTTCTCCTTGTTGAGAACAGTGTCGTCACTTATGGGAGAGAAAAACGCGAATACTAATTGAAGGCGCAGGACTAAATTTCACATTAAATCTAACAAACTTTTACAAAGTGGATAAAACATACGATATTAGGGTCGTAACATCTGTTTACAATACTCAATTGGTTACCAAACTCGTATTGTAATCACATGCTTTACGACACTAATATCGTAAATAACTAGTATCTCGCTCTTGATGTTGTGACTACTCTCGTATTCGCCCCCAAAATACTTCAATTGCTTTTGGACCTCTTAATGATGCACTTACAGTATTGATTCAATGTTTGCCATGATTGCAATAAGGACAACAAATATCATTTTAAGTCAATATCATTGACATTAGCCAGGGAACGCCAATAGAATGATTATGAAAATACAGAGTGAATCATTTAAAGTGACCCCCCCCCAATATCGCACACACATACACACACACACATACACCACAACTCTCTTCTCCTCAATTAGATGAACAAAGGTTTCTAACGTCATTTTGCTGAGAAAGCTACGTTACTGCACAGCAGTTCCTTGATGATGCCTCTTCTTTATTTATTTAATGTCATAAAACAGTTAAAATATTTGTGACGTACTATGGGGAGCAGTGTAATCTGAGCACGTTTCTTGAGCTCTTGGATCTCTGCCCTAAGTCATATACACATTTAATTGAACTGCGAATACAGGTAGCAACGAGCGTTTTTTGGTAAGAATAGGTAGAAAATATTAACGCGCGTATCGCCATTTTTATCGAGTTATGAATGATATCTTCTTCTTTCAATGCGTCTTCCTCTTCATCCTTCTATTTCACATTTGCTCGACCTCTTTTCGTACGTCGTGCTGGCGTCCAGTTGTAGCGCTTTTGGGGGAGATTTTCATAATTCATCCTTTCTAAATGTCCGTACCATTGTATCATTGTTTATATCAACATTATTTACCCCTTTGATGCTTAGTAGAGTCTTTAATTATATAGAAATGGTTACACAATAGAAAAGATTTTACTTCGCACTTACGGTTGTGTATCAGTCTTATTCGTTTGATGTCATCTAGTAATTTGTTGTAAAATAATGTATATGTACATACTTTTTCGTAGTGAGCTGTTGATACTGACATCTGATAAATATTATTACTATGTCAAGTGTAATACCGGAAGATATCTGTGTTGGCTGAAAATATATCCCCATCCTTGAGTAAGTCATTTTGGATAAATACTACTGATTCGTAAATCAAGATGCAAAGCAGTGGAGCCTTAACGTAATAAAGAGGGGCCTACTAGAATGACGTGTGATTTGCTTATTATACTTGCAATTATTATCTGTAATGTAAAGGTCTGGGAGCCATAGGGCATGTTTACCCAGACTACTATCTCATATCTCTGGCGGGGATGAACGATGAACATTCGAGAAGTATGTGCTTCAAGGCTGACTGAATCTGAAAGGATTCCGAAGACGTAAAATAATGAATTTAATCTTCTTTATATGGCTATTCCATTTAAGGTTTGAATTTGAATTGAGAGACCAAATGATTAGGTTAACGTAATATCAATGGCATCGTTCATTAGCTACTTAGCACAGGTGCCAACGTTTCGGCCGCCATTCTGCGACTTTCCTTGGGGCGAAATGTCCACATCTCCGGAATTTGGAAAGCTGAATCGGGGGTGTAGATCTCCAAATGGATTTGTACAGGTCATTAACCCCATCCCGCTAAGGGACTGATGGTAGACACTAGTACAGCCAAATTCCCGTTCTAATGCACTTACCCAATAGCGCTGGATCATTCTGGAAAAGGGCCTGCACCCGAGCATATAAGTAGCGCTTCCTAAACAAAGTATAGAACGTTTGCCTTCATGTCTACGGGTCCTTTTTAGGACTGGTGGTGGGAAAAGAGGAGCAGCCCAAAATCTCCACTAATTTGGCATAGGTCTCGTCCAATGTAGTCCTGGCATTGAATATTTATTTTGAATTCATTTCCCACCTTAACAAGCTCTTGATTTACATTAGTTTGAGAAGCAATCAGGTTGAAATGTTTTCTGTCCAGTGAGGCGTAGCTTCTGGTGTGGCCCTGTTGAGGCAAGTCTCAGAAGCTATGTTTCCGGGCGTCACAGCAGCAGGGAACCGAAAAGTTTAGTTGCGCCCTCTCCGAGCAGCGACGACGAATCACATGACGGGACCGCATCCTATCCGCTGTCGGGAAGGCAATGCCTATCATTGCGAGTTACTCACGGCCACAGCCAATCGGCCGAGGTTTGGAAGAGAATCGGTATCAGACTGTTTGCTTATCTCTACCTACAAAGACGTTTATGTCCCCTTTGGATGTGAGGCAGAACAGCGAATTACCGGCTTTTTTCCTGTTGTAAGGTTAGGCCTTTCTCTTTGTACTGTTTTCCTGCCACTATGCTGCGCCTTGGCAGCAGAGATTTATTTGCAGCGTTCGGGTGAGCGTGGCGCAAATGTTGCGAAAGCCCTGGTTTGGTTGCAAGCTTGACGGAGCATAACTCACATATGAAGTCTCTTTTAGATGCTTTCGGAACCGGTCTCTTCGGGAAATGATTCAAAACCGATAGCTTCCCTTTGCAGTTCTCGCTGCACTTGAAACATAAAAAATTAGGAGGCCATAATGAATACGAGCATCATGATGCCGAACCATGTAATTCAAATCGATGGCCATAGAGCCACAACCCCCTTTCTGCGCGACGTCTCGCCTCGAAGGGAATTCTGACCATGCACCGCTTCAAGCCGTGGTCGCCAAATGCGGTGGCCTGTTGCCCACGGGGTGCGCCGCCGTGCGCTCCCGCAACCGAGGCTTCGCCCATAGCGCCCGCTGCAAGTCGCCCCAGGAGCACGACGGGGTCAAAGGCGGCAGAACCCCGCCCCCTTCCTCGTGACGTGGGGTTCCTGAGGCAGAAACTACATTGGACTGTTTATAGTGATGTACCCGTAATTTTCTTTCTTTCCCTTAACTAGGTACTCCCGTTGTAAGGCGCCGGAGACTCGCCATCCCCCCCCCCCTTCGGCTGCTTCTCAAGCTGGCCAGAGATGCATTACCGGGGGCCACCGTGTGAAGGTGAGATAATGGACTTGTCGGCCATGCAACGTCAAATCCATTACGAGCGGCTATACATACGGTTGCGAACCCATTACAGGAAGGATTCTTGCGGTAATTAAAAACTTTTTATTAAATCTTTTATAAAATCTTACAATCCATATTCTTGCCCGGGCTTGATCATGACTCGTAATTTCTTCCAGACAAAATCTCTCTCTTTATAATTCAACCACACATTATAGATATTTTGCCCCAATAATTTCTTTTACAATTAAATTTAATGGAGTGGATAGCTCTAGTTTCTATTAAGATTTTGGGCGTCAGCATACTTACGGTTTTTCAGGGTACTGTTATTTTTCTTGTAGGCTAGAACATCCCACTCATACGAGTATTCGGATGGTGAATAATTTAATTTGACCTTTTTTTTAGAGGGGGGGGCGGAAATGACTTTTATGTCGAATCCATTTTTACACCTCACAGTTTTGATGAAATATGAGATGGTGATGGCGAAGTGCGAAAGAACAATCACAAACATACATACATACACACACAACCACGCCCGAGGCGGGACTCGAACCCGCGATCCTCCCATCCGAGATGCCTTAGCGATTTCGGCTCTCCGGATCTGCGGTGATGACTGATATGACGTCGAGGAAAATCATTTTTTAACTGATAATCCCAAAGAGTGATAA